ATTAGTACTGATTTTGTACTAATTTGTACCACGTAAAATAAATTAATATTTCAAACTTAATTAATATAATCATTACCTTATAATATATCTTTTCTTTCAATTTCCTGTAAGAGTCAAAACTCTTTTCCTTCAGCAAAATCGAACGATACTGCTCTTGTTCAATGTGAAATAATTTGTATTATACAATATGATATTCAGACTTTGTATCTCCCCCTCCCCTCGAACTATCCCTAACTCTTGATAATATCAAGAATAAAATATTCGTTTTTTCCTGCAGAAACGACACTATTGTTCGATGCGTGATAATTCGTACTACCAAAATGTAAAGTTTAAACATATTTATAATATATTTCTTATCAAGAGTTAGAGATAGTTCGAGGGGAGGGGGGGATACAAAGTCTGAATATCATATTGTATAATACAAATTATTGCACATTGAACAAGAGCAGTATCGTTCGATTTTGCTGAAGGAAAAGAGTTTTGACTCTTAAAGAAAATTGAAAGAAAAGATATTATAAGGTAATAATTATATTAAGTTTAAAATATTAATTTATTTTATGTGGTACAAATTAGTACAAAATCAGTACTAATTATACATACTTTTATTTATTTTTTTTTTAATTTTTTTGTGGTCCTGCTAGCTTAATATAAAGCTTAGCAGCGCCACGTTTTTCTTCAAAACGGCACGAGGTACAAAATTTTTATTGATGCAAATTAGTACAAATTGGGTACTAAAAAATTAGATATGTCCGGTTTGATTCTGCTCATTTGGTTCTGTTAGCTTGATAGAGGTTCAAGAATGTCATGTTTTAGTCATGACATTAATTCCAATCTTTAACGATAAATCGTGTTTATCGAACGAAAAAGGCGGGTTTTTTTGCCAGCTTGGAAATCTGACGCATGTCGCAATTAACGAGCGTTAAAGCAAATTATGTCATGGAAATTATACATACATGTTTAATAAGCAGTCCATTAAATTTCAATCTAACGGTCTTTACGTCGTTCATTCTGATGCGCTCGCGTCGGGTATTGATATACTTTCACCGTGAATCCCACTGCCGCGCGGATAGAAGCGCGTGAGCGTGCGTACACACGTGCGTGCACGCGGCGCAGGTGGATCACGTTTCCTGAGGCAGCGGCGCGCCGCGCCGCTCGCACGCGTGCACAGCTCGCACGTTTCGAAGGCAAAGAGAGCCCAGCCGGGCGTGACCGGCCCGGCGAGAAACGTGAGATACGCGTATAAATGTGCGTAATAGCGGGATTTTCCCCAAGTCCGAGAGAATTTATGCGTGTGTACATACTTTAGCAAAACATCAGTAAATGCCGATCAAAGCGCGTTGCTTAATGACCTTTGAAATTGATTTTGAATTTTAAACGCGCGGCGCGGGAGACGCGCGGGGATTGCTCCGCGCGCTGTGAAATTCCAATTGAGAAAAAAAATGTGGGATACGCGGAAAGAAGAATTTTGCTGAATCCAGATCTGAAAATAATTTTTGTTCAACGATCAAAATAATTTTGTGTAAAAGTCAAAGTGATTGCTAGAATATCAAAACGTATTATAGTAATGCTTATCAGTTTTAACATTCCAACAAATTATTTTAATGATTCAACAAAAAATTATTTTCAGATCTGTTTTTAGCAAAATTTTTAGATCTTTCAACAGAATCGTTCTTCCCGTGTATAAATTATGAGGGAAGGCGAGGCGGGCGGTGAAACGCGCGCCTTTAAACAGGGAATTAACGAGATCAAAGAAGTGCCGCGTTTTAAAATTTTCACTGTTTCGACAGGGAGTTTTTCGCCCGTGGAAAAGAGTTGTCTTACTCCATTTAGCTCTTTGTGGATGGGAATTCAAATGCACACACTCTGGGGTATACGATTTAATTTTTCAGCTTTCCGATACAGTGCAGTTTGCACGTGGCAATACATCACCGTTACAATTTCTATACGGAATAATTAAATACCCGCGAACGCAATGAATATAACGCTGCAGGAGGGAATTGGAGAATCAGTCTCTATATTTCTTTTCTATTCGATTAATTAACTGGATATACACGGAGTTCACGGTTTGTTTGTTTTTTTTCCCTCTACCTCGCTTGACAAAATTGGCTTCATCTTTTTATTGGACGTTTAATTATCGCGCGCGACATTGCGTATCGATTGCTAATCGTTCTTACGATTAACTGTGTCAGTCGTCGCGCGACACATTGACGATGACGAATCTAATTCGGATTTATATCCAACACGATGCGACCGAGACGAACGAAGTTCGAATGACGCTCGTCATTTTTTCCACTTAAAGGGATATCTTTCTCACGGCGCGTGACTTGGCGAGTGCGCGAGTGCACTTCTCATGTTGGTTTTACGTATGTCGAGTAAATTCATCGTATATGCATTCCCACGACTTTCTGCATCAGCACGGCGAGCAGAAAGCCACGAGTCGGCCTACCGTTTCTATACGCAAATCGATGAATACCTTTATACGGTCATTTCACAATCCCACTTTCTTGACTCATAATTTATTTCAAAGGGCATTGGAATAAATTTAATAATTTAGTTTATGTGAAATAATTGACATTGCAACGATCGAAAATCAATTCGCATTGACTCTCTAACAGTTTTCTAACAATTTTTTTTACATCGCAATTATCTTATTATTAATCCTAAATGCTTTGGCTTGGTACAATTTTTATCATTTCAATTTGAATCGGGAGAGAAGATCTGGTCGGGGGAAAGAGTACCCTCGCTGGAGGATAATTTTATACAAGGCAGGAAGGAAAAGCCCGCGAGCTCTTTGGAGTCTTCATCCCTCGCGAGATACCGTCGTCGTCGTCCTCCCGCGTACTTATCGTGCGAAGCTCCGCGATCCTTACATACTTTGAGGGAAAGCTCTTAGCGAACTTTCGACCGAAAACAGCCCGCGCGTCCCGCGCTCTCTTCGGGACCACAATAGACGAGGGGGGGGGGGGGGATTCCCCGTTTGCGCCGCGGACATTATTTTCTTCCTCCCGGACGAATGATGGGGCATCTCCCTCGGAGAGCGGCTTTACCGTTGGACGTTCCAGTTTCTTGGATCTATCGCAAATTATGAGATAGCGTCTCTCCGTCGGGCTGGCTCGTCCGTCTGTGTCCGGCAATCATATGTATCGTCGATAACTGTACGCGCGCGATTGCTCGCGCGTATATATATATATGTATATATATATATGTACGGCCGACGGCGCGGCGGAATCGCGGCCGCGAAACTAACGTAGGTACGTTTATTTTTGTTTTTTCGCGAGGCCGAGTCATGCGGGCGCGATGAGGAATGATTACGCGCGTGATTGCCGGCCACGATGCACCGAACGAACGCGAAACGTGAATTTCGACGTGAATTTGACGTTTCGGTTATTCACCTCCGATTCAACACACGGGACCGGTTTTCGGCGTTTTTATTTTTGTTCGGCTTGACAGTCCGCATCGAAATTCAAGTTAAATAATTAACGTGCAAACTCTGATCGAAATTTTTCGATCTACGCGCGCGTTGCATGCTTTCCGCTTGCATACGTTATTTTCGCAATCCGTTTTGCTAAAAAGCCGACGGCTAACAGGAGTAATAACGCGGCAATAAATAGCAACGTTTGCTGTAGGAAAGGAAAGTCGGCCGTTGAATTATTCGTTTGGCAGCAATGCATTTATATAAGAATTCCGATTTACGCGCGAATTCTGTCTGCGTATATATTTAATGCGCAGGTTTTAATTAAATCTCGCTTTAACGCGAGATCGCGTTAAATTTGTGACACTCCAATTATTATTACGAACATATACTATACCTGTCGATTAACCAGCGCGCACCAAACGTATAAACTCACGCTGCACGTGGCAACAGTAAGCCGGGGATTTAATTATAATATAATTATAACGGAGTCGCGTTTTTACGTTGCGTTGCAGCGCCCTACGAGGGTGGAATATGGAAGGTGAGGGTCCATCTGCCGGAGCACTACCCCTTCAAATCACCTTCGATCGGTTTCATGAACAAGGTCTACCATCCCAACATTGACGAAGTCTCGGGCACGGTGTGTCTAGACGTTATAAACCAGGCTTGGACTGCCCTTTACGGTACGTATTTCATTTTAGCCGCGCAAAACGGCCGTGCTCGGCCGAGTCTGCAAATAGCGCCCCGTATAGGTACCCCTGCGCAATTTTCACTTTGCCGTCGCTACTTAACTGTTTCATTGAAAGTAACTTAATTTAGACTTCGCTCTTTGAGAGTCGCATCTCACGAGAGTTACACACTTTCCGCGGGGCGGTGTATGCATGTCTATCTTGTATATTTATTATGAGTCGCGAGCTTTGCCGAGCGACGTGTTTTAAACGAGCGAGAGAAACTTTTGGTCATGCCTTTGTCGAACGAGAAAGCACCTACGAACGATCATTAACTAACGACGTTTCTTCGTTTGTTTCAGACTTGTCAAATATTTTCGAGTCTTTCCTGCCTCAGTTGTTAACATATCCCAATCCAATCGATCCCCTGAACGGCGACGCTGCCGCGATGTATCTTCACAAACCCGAAGAGTACAAGAAGAAGGTGGCGGGTGAGTATTGCTGCCGGTTTAATAAGTTTTCCCCCTCTCTCGCCCCCCCCC